AGGGAATATTCCGTACATGAAGTGACAGTTGGTATTTGTGATTATAATAATTAGTATGCAATATAAGTTGCATTATTGACACATTGCCGCCAACTCGTAAGAAAGTTGACGCAATTCACGAGAATTACATGAAATGCATTTTACAAATACACAAATCCAATGATAGATTACATAGACGTGTGATTTATGGCTTGCAAATACTGTAGTGGTCAATATTTGTACTGGTCACTTTTGTAATGGTCACTTTGTGGTGGAATACTAAACCACATTTACTTACTAGTCAGTTAGTTTGTCATTTATATAAAGGTTGATTATTTAATGTTTATTATTTAATGGTCGAAGATATACTAGAATTTTAAAAGAATTGCCTAAATATTCAATTCTCGTAATTCTAGTTTAAGATTTAGTACTTAAAATTTTTAAAGTTTTTAGGAGAAATAGTTTTCTTAGGAATCATGTGATTCTTACGACAAATATTAATTATTAATTAATAAAAATATATTTGCATGTATCTAAAATTTTACTTTACTTTTATACCCAAATTAAAAATTTAACAATTATTATTTAAGTTTAGTTGCAATACTATTATAAGTGAGTTCAATTTGTAAATTATTCAATTTTCAATCATTCATACACCAAATTCAATTTTTAATTTGGCATTATTTTTAATGTCTAATATTTCGTAACATTATTTGAAAAAATAACAAAATAATTGTGTTAAATAATATTTACAAAAAACAATATTCTTAATGATGTTTACATTTTGAATAAACTATGCAATAGTTCTATACACAATGTCTTGAATTAGACTATATTTTTAATTATTTAACTATAATTACCAAAGACATCGATGGGAGTGAGAAAAGCTGTAATCATCACTCTATTTAATTACTAATACAGAAATATGATGACTTTTGGAATATCATTATATTTTATTAATATAGGAATTCCAAAATTTTACCACAAATATGTCAAAATTATTAAAATAAAAAGACAACATTTAACACCTTGTTGAATATTTGTATAATAATTATAAATTATATACAGTATTATTGGATATGAATAGCGTTGCTAAATAATATTTTTAAGATCCTGTATAAATATGAAACAAGGATCACACAGCGATGCTATACGTTAACCATAATTCGGGAAATGCATTAAAGATTTTAAATTTTTCAATATTATTGTTAGAATACTTTCACTATTGTTATATTGAGAAAGATTGGGGCTGAAAGATCCTATAAACCACATTATTTATACTGAATTGTGGTTAAAAATTTGCTAAAGATTTCTGTATTTTCCTGTATTACAGCTTATTTTTGTAAATATTTATTCCTGTATTTTTCAATGTACAGAAAAATGTCCTCCTGTATTCTGTGAAAATTCCTGTATAATACAGGAAATTCCTGTATATTTGGCAACGCTAGATATGAACAAAAAAGTTTTTTATTTGGAAATTGTCTATAAATAGAAAATTGTTTGTTATACAGTATTAGGTTATGTAAATGAAATGTTAATATGAATATTATAAGCAAATCTTTGTTACATTTGCTTATTCGCAGGATTTTAATTAATTAAACACTTGATAGCTATAAATATAGTTATATAATTTGTACTAGAATTTGACCATGTCACTAACTACTACAATATTACTGTAAATACAAGCATAAATTGATTAATTATTTATTTTAAATATGAAGTACTTAGAGTGACCAACTCAATATTTGTACAATCGGGACATTTCATAAAAATTATTGAAAATTCCTAGATATTGCAAGACATATTATAATTTTTCCAGGTACATTTTTCGTGACATCGAATTTTCTCCAGAATTGGTGTCATAAACATTTCGCTGATATAAAATGTCCCAGAAAACCGAGAGGGGACGGTTGGTCACTCTAGAAGTTCTGTAAGCTATAAAACTCTCTTCAATAAAAGCTTATTTCATTAATGACTGCAATAAATGTGTAAAAAAGTTATATCTGTTCACTTAATAGGCCTATAATCTAAATCCAAATTATATACATATTGTGACTATTAGTCTACTTTTTCTCACAAATGTTGGCCATTATTATACTATAATTAGCAATAATTTGTAGAAATTCTTACAAAACTTAAAATTGTTGAGTGAAATGCGGTGTTTTTAAAGTGAATTGCAACTACTTTTGTGTATTGAAAATGAATTTAAAAGTTCATCGATAACCGACTCACAAGTCTGTCGTCAGTAATATTATTGCTGAACGTTATATAATATACAGTTATATCCCGTAAATAACAAATATTATGTCATATATTTATATTCACGACATAAATAAGACAAACAGTTATCGATGAACTCAAACAAACAAATCATAGCAACATTTAAACGACTAAATAGTAAATGTTTCGTACATTTAAACAACTTTTTAAGCAGAAAAAATCGGAATTTGAATTCGTGTCAACTGTCTGTAAGATTAGGATTCATAGCAGTATTTGATGACAATTCTGGCGATTATAGCCTCGGCTTATATATGGGATAAATAAGTGAATCTAAAACAACAGACAATTACTCTATTTAAAAAAATTGTTTTAAAATGAAAATTTATTAAATGTTAAGTGATATAAATATTTTCAATTTCATCGCTGAATGCTTTTTGAATAATATTTGAAACAATTCTAACAATATATAAATCGGTTGATTATGACAGAGGTATTGGTGTGGAAAGTGTGTGGAAAGGCATCCCTAACTCCTACTCCTATTATTACCGTTAAAAAAGTTATTACAAAAAGTTGTTTAACAATAATAATTATAAGCAACTCATAAAACAAATGTTGAAAAGTTATTAGAAAACGATTATAAAGGTATATAAAGGTGTATATAATATAAGGTATGGTATTATAATAATAGCATTAATCGTGGACTCAATTGAGTGAGCATTAGATTTGACGTCATTTGCCATACGTTTACATGTGATGTAAAGCAATGCCTATAACTGTATGGAGTAGTGATGTAGTGATGTTTGTGAGCACTTGTCGTACACTTGTATAGCATATGTGTTGTGTTGTGAACGGAGTCTACACTCACTCTACTCTTCGCTATTGCAGTACAACTTGTCATTCAATTTTCATTGCATTTCATTATTTATTTCAAATGTTTTTTATATTTATTTATTTATTTTTAAATAATATTAATATTAATTATAATAATTAATCGTTTCGTTTGAATGAATGTATGAATTAAGTGAACAAAAGGCTGTAAACAATTGAAAGCCAGTAATAATTGTGTGAATTTATAGTGCAATCAATGGCTCAACGGTTGACTCAAACAAACTATTTGTCAATTATTTATAATATAATTCATATATTTATCTGTGATTTAAATCCAATGAAACCTAAATTAAAGACACTTGTAATCAATGAATTGTTTTTAGTGTTAATAATACTGACTATTAGTGTAAATGTATGCAAATGTGAGGACAAACAGTTCACCAATACTTTCGCCGTTCATCTCAGACCAGAGAAATGTGACGAAACCTCTGCCAAACAATTGGCACTAAGATATGGATATCAATACAACGGACAGGTAGTCATCCATTCATCACATCCTCTATCTCTCTATCCATTTGTCTCACCATTTGATCATTTGTTGTAATCACTCGCAGATCATTGACTGTCACTATTCAATGCTCGTCCATCACATCGCCGAGAGGTCCGCAGATTATTCACATTCACACCACTCTCAGCTTAGCGAAGACAATGATGTCAGTCTTGATTAATGCTTATATATATTGTATTTAATATACTGTATTAGACAATTGACCATGTATAATGTACCATGTACATCTGTATAATCTACTCGAGTATAGTCTATCTATAGCTAACATACCTGTTATGGTTTGTGTTTACATTGACGGCAGTAATCGTATTATATTTTAGAGTTATATATGATTTGATTGATTGAAATGATAGATGTATTAAATGCAATATAATTAGTATGAATTAATAGTGCAATTGTGTGTTAATGTGTTGTAATGTATGGACAGGTGTTATGGGTTGAACAGCAAGAGATGAAGATTCGTAAGAAGAGAGATAACCCCAATTCGGAGTACAGGTTCTCTGCAAAGCCAATGCCAGACCCGCTCTAC